GTCTTCTTGCAGGTGCGCGGCGGCTTCTTCAACCTCAGCTCCGCTATGGCGGACTATCTCCTTCGGCTGCCACCTCGGCTATGGCGCATCAGGCCCCGACGACGGCACGCATGGAATCGCGGGTACCAACTCCGATACCAATGCAATCAAACTCGTTCTCAAACACACTCTTCATGCATGTAAACAGCAATGCAGCATACTGGCGACATGCGCCCACTCAAAACTCAGAGATATGGCTTTCAGACACGAGTTCATTCTCAAATGGCTATGGCGACTTCAGTGCCCAAACATCTCACTGTTCACATACACTGGATCACCCTGGATATCCCACACGCATCACTCTAACACTCGAGCACACACACACACTCACTACTAACTACAGCTATGGCAGTTGTCGCTGCATCTAACCTATCGCTATGCTAACTCCCTCTCTCTAGCCCACTGCGTCCTCCGGGCTCATCTGCAGACCTCCTTGCACAAGTCGATGTGGCAGCGCTTCCGCATGGCTCACGCAGGAATGAATGAATGGTTGGGCGCTGCCTCTTGATTTATACTTCAGAAACTCGATGGTCTGCCCTTTGCCATCGGCCCTTGGTGCTCACAGTCCCCCTGTGGTACTTGCTGGACCGAACTGGGACTTACTGGACCCTCCGCTGATTGACTGTGGACTCACCGCTATCCTACCGACGTTGTACTGTTGTTGCACTGCAGTTTAGTCCACCACTTGCCTCACCACTTGACCACTTGCCCACTTGCCTACCTTCTAGAAGGTCTACAACTAAGTTTCCGGAACTCACTAAGACTCCTACGCTATAGACCTACAGATCGAACCCCTGCTGCCTATGGACCTACGACAGGCCTACCAACTGCCTACAAATGCACAGGTCACAGGTTCAATTCTCGGGGTCTACACAGATACTGTACATGGGTAGGGTGAGGTCTAGGGATCAAACCCTGGGTACTGCATCCGCTACTGCTAAAAGGTGAAAATCGTTTCAGATACGTGGGCGAGCACGTTTTGACACCGCCATCTTTAGCGATTTTTAATTCTTATTTGGCTTATCCAAATGACTTGAACATTTACAAGCATGTACCTCGTGTCATAGAGAACTCACAAAAAACAATTCAGAAAAAACTAATGATTTTTAGGTCTCAAAATAGTTTTTGGCGGGGACCAAACGCCGTCGAGTTCGGACCCCGTACGGGACCTCGAACACCCGTACGTACGAAGGTCTGTCGGGAACCTCCGTACGTACGGGCTGGTGACCCTGTATATATATATATATATAATATGTATATATACAAAGTTTTTTTTTTTTTTTAGCTTAGCGCCTGCCCATGTGCGCCCTTGTGCTGCATGTTGCATGTCTCTCTCTCTCTCTCTCTCTCTCTCTCTCTCTCTCTCTCTCTCTCTCTCTCTCTCTCTCT